CGATTTTACTATATCATTGATCTTAAACAAATATTTTTTATTTGTGGTTTATTTTTTTTTACTTCCATCTATTCTCAAATCGTTACTCTTTCTTTATCATAGATTCGGATTTATTTCACTCTAAAGGTTTCTTTCAATGTACCATTTTCGATTTTAGAATAATTATTCATGCTAAAACCTTTAGCAGTTTGATTCCAATCCTGGATAATTTAAGACTCAATCTCCTGTGCTTTTGATTTACTGTTATTTCTGAAATGCTTATCTGGTGACCATATTTCAGGACACAATTCAACCAATTGACACATACAACAAAACAAAACTTTGTTGTGTGCATCAGCAGCGGTAGTGACCTTGATGGTGCTCCAGTTGTTTAGCTTTGTTAGGCACATCAAATCTTCATCTTGTTAAATCATGAGATGGTTATTTGTCACATATCTAAAGTCGATATCGTCTTCATTGATGAGGGTCCGCTGTCATAAAAGCTTCAGAGATTAGTTGTCATGATCTCTGTCACAGGTTTTTTGGTACACTGCAAACGCAATTCAAAGAGGGGGGAGAGGCTCCTAGATTTTTTACAGGTGTTGGTATCTGTAGTCTTACTTGTATGAGAAACATTTTCACAATCACAGGCTTGTGTCAGCTGATAAAAATGATCAATGGAGTACAGGACGCTACGGAAGGTGCCAGAAGCCCTCAAATAATCTATACTTTTTAGGTGTTACCGCTACTGTTTTTGACATCGACGACTTCAATGTGTTAATTATCCTCCACCAAGAGTCATCTATTTGACACCATAAGCGTTTTATCGAGAAGAAAATCAATGACCCATGTGAGGGACGTGGTGCCGCGCGTTTAGGCAGGTTACAAGTATCTTCTGGATGTGGTGCTAGTGATTTAGGTCATGTCCAGCGTATCTCTCTACGAGGGTTTGACTATGAAGCCTTAGATGCTGAGAGATGGAAGGGGAAAGTGACCTTACCGAAGCACCGCGTCGTGCTACCCTTTCACTTGAAGGTCATCATCTTTTATCACAGGTGTTGCCGGGACCTTTAAATAACTGTTGTAACATGAAGCCATCTCATAGATCAAGAAGTGTGATCACAGTGCTTTCATTATATTTACGACCGATGTAACAGTATTCAATGTGTGTGGGTGCACTCTTTACTGCTTATTTTGTGTAAGTTTTGTTAAAGAATCAAATATATATTTCATAAAACAGGTGTATCAATCATTCTAAACTGTCTTTGGTTGGGTTCGTTGCGACGCCCTTGTTAATGATAAGATCAGCTTACACAATCTGGTTTTATTGACAAACTTATCTATCTGGAATAGATGATTCGCAAGTAGTCAGACAATCCATTTGACGCATTCAGTTCATACTGTGCTGAGACTTTTAACAGCTATTACTCATTAAAAACCAGCCTGAACGCTATGATGAATAATACTCTGAAGTGGTAGATCCGCATGACACAAAGTGCTGGAGTGCATTAGCCTTAGGCTTTTCCCACAACGTCAACCACTCCATTGTTGTTCAGGGTAGTTCCAAGATCAAAACCTCCACTCTTCGGTTAATAGAATAAAAAACGATAAGGACACCAACAGGAGGCTGTGCTGCTTCCAGAGCGAGACACGGAAAAGTCTTCATTTGTTGTTTGTGTTGGTGAAACGAAAACATTGTCATGAATGGGATGCAGACTTCCATCCCGTGCTGAGCTAGATTTGGATGGACACACTATCGTCCTTTGCAAAGTTTCGTGAACAGGCAGTTCAACCATCGCCGTACGAAACCACTATGAATGATGGGTATAACAACTGTAATAGAAAAATTTTCATTAGCTGTCCCCACTTCAGCATACAGTTATCTTTCCAGGTACACTTATTCGTCGATGGATTAAATCACCCTGACAACTGAGGCAAGAGTATGTTGGGGCACTATCTGCAATTGTTTTGTACAAGCAAAGAGATAGACACGCTGAATAATTTGAACTTCGATAAATTTGAGCCACTTACAACATCATTTACTAAATTTTAGCCGTTGTTATGGGGATTTATTGATCGATATGGCGCTTTGGCTAAGCAAAATACATGCTCAAAGTGTTTCTGTACTAATAGTAATTCTTGTGACGATCCTGTGTGTCCATTTTAGGTTTACGAAGCATAAAACGAGTTTCTAAATAGCAAAAGCAATTACTATGACGAGGGTACTTTGTGGCGCAGTGCTTTCTTCGATGACAACAAAATGCCAGATATATTACCTTTAAAGGTTGGAGTTCGTGTAATACAGTTTCAGAACATATACACAGGGATTGGACTTGGCAATGGTAGAATTGACGAGATAAAGTTTTTAAATTCATTAGAATTTTTTGAGCTGGCGCTTCTCGCCTTCCTTGAGCAGCAGAATCATACGCCTTATGGTTAATACTCTTTTTCGCACTACAGTTTTCGAAAGATAAAGACTTTCTACGATTACATCGATACATTTTTTTTCAGTTTTTCAATGAGTAACTACGACAACAGCACCCTTGAGAACTATTGCCACGTAAACTTAGCTACGTAGGTATCTACACTAGAGAACGTCTTGAACAAATCCATATACATGTTGGACTGCATGAGATAGCTACAGTAACCTGTGGTGTTCTTCACACCGTTGGGCTCCAGGGAATGATGGTTGCCATCATGACCACAGTGTATGCATGCAAGCACTTAGCATGATTACTAATACTCGGATTGGTTTAAATCAAAAATATGAAGTAAATCATCTCAAAACTATGGTGAATATTTAACATTGCTTGGCGGTCTTATTGTCGTTTCTCAGCCCAGAGATCTGCATGCAGACTGTGGTAACCATAGTGACACAAAATGTGTTTTTTTTTCCCAAGAGGTTAGGCTTATATTGCCTTCATCCAGGAAACTAAGCCTGAGAACGTAAGGTTGTGTAGCTTCGATGCTGCAATGTATATCCAGCCGTGTCCAGAGGTGGAACTTTTCTATAGAAGACTGCAAAGAGGCAACAATGGTGCTTTGACGAGCAAAGTGGGGAAAAAAAATATAATATATCAAAAAAAGCTACAAGAAGACATCAACATTACATTTTCTTCCTATTTTAATATATGTATACTGTTGTGAATGTTGCAGTTGCCCTAAAAATAACATCAAAAAATTCTATTAATATAATATTTTGATGTGAGTTCTTCAATTATTATTGCGCTTCGCATTGAGATGCATCCATTTGTGAGAGGTAACTATTCCAAAAAGAGTGGGATTTTGAAAGATAAAGTGGTTAGTATTAATTAATATACATCATGACAGGAATTTATTTCTCTCTCCCTTTATGGAGACATAAGCTACTATGTGTTATAGAGGGAGGACAATTGAACTGACTTATCTACCACTGACAAGAGTTTATTTACTGCTATACACGGGTTTGTTATATTTA